ATCAACTTCATCATCCCTCACCCAGTAACTGAGAGAACTAATAGACAGGAAATCCATAAGAACAGAGACAAGTTCAGTAACATGATCACTCAACTGGCATAATGGTATTTATAGAATATTGTACTCAACAGTTGTAAAATCTACATTCTTGTCACATATCCTTGGAATATTTGTCAAGTACATGCCGTATTACATGATGAGTTCTGCTTATATGAGACTCTGCCAGGCTTGGTATGGTGCACCCACCCCTAAAAGAACATCGTATCTCTCCTACACTAGTGTCGGTGTTCATCTCCTGGTCCCAAAACAATAAACTTTGTCTCCCTTTTGTGCACCAAGGTCCTTTAATCCCTTCTCAATACCATTCACTTAGGAAGTCTCCACCCACTGCGCCATAAAGTCCTCCAGTCCTCTCCCAACATGATGACCTGTCCACTCACATAGGGTCCACCCCATCTCAATCTCATGCAGGTGACTCCCTGGTTTTGTCTCCTTTGAGGGTCCTCACAGTCTCCTGTTCTCCAGCACTGGCAGTAAAGATCTTTTTTTAAAATCTCTCTCTTTTTTATTCCTTGTCATTGTCTCTCAACTGCACACAGAAAACATTATGAACTGTAAAACAAACCTTAAAAAACATAAAACAACAGAAGTCATAAATAAGTATCCAGGTAAAACAGAATTAAATTAGCAAGAAATAATAAAAATACATGAAAATTCAAATTTTTAAAAAATTTTAAGAAAAATATTCCTAAATAACCTCTGGATTAAGGAAGAAGGCTGAAAGGAAATTTTATAGTTCTAGTGAGGCAAGGTAGCACATGGCTGTAATCCCAGCACTCTGGATAGAAAAGGCAAGAGATTTGCCGGATGAAGCCTCACCTATTTTAATGATTTAAAGAAATCTTAAAAGGCTGGAGATGTAGCTCAGTACAAAGGCCCTGGATTCACTCCCCACACTGAAAAAAAGCTCTAACCAAATCAAAATTGAAATACAATATACCAAAATCTACAAATTAAGTTAAAGCAGAGTATAAGAGATAAGCCTAATAATAATAATACTATATTAAGGAATATTTAAAATCAGTAATCAAAGCTTCTACTTCAAAAAACTAGAAAAAGAAGATAAAATCAAACTCAACTCAAAAGAAATAAAAATTTGAGCAGAAATAAGTTAAATTAAAAATGGATCATAGAGAAAAACAATGAAACTAATCACTGTTTCTTTAATAAGATCAACATAATTGTTAAATCTTCAATCAGCTGTAGAGAAAGGTGTTGCAAATTACCACAATCAGGATCTTGCAGTTATTAAAAGGATAGTACAGAACACTTCAGCTGGGCTTGGTGGCATACACTTGTAATCCCATCTACTTGGGAGCCTAAGGCTGGAGGATCACAAATACAAGGCCAGTTTAGGCAATTTAGCAAGACTTGAAAAGAAAGAAAGTAAGAAAAAGGCTAGGGATGTAGGTCTGTTGGAGTGTTCCCTGGTTTAGTTCCAACTAGAAAAAAGGAATATAAACACTTTATGACCACAAATTAGACACTTTAGGTGATCTAGAGAAATTTCTCAAATGATATATTCTCCTATCACTGAATTAGAGTGAATGTCCCATATCTCTTACAAAGAAATAAATCATAAGTAAAAATCATCAAAGAAAACTCTGCACCCAGGTTGTGTCTACAGTTAAATTCTACCAAACATATGAAAAAAATTTACCAATTCTATACAACCTGTTGTAGGAAACAGGAGGGGACAGAACTCTTCCAACTCATCTTACGAAAACAGCATTACTCTAATAGCAAATCTAGATTACATTATCTGAGAAGAAAACTATGAATCATATCCTCCACCCTGTGGATTTTTAATGTCACATACAGTTTTTTAGCCGTTAATGTGAAGAAGTTGTAAACTATAAAAAAGGAAGCTCCATATTCCCAGTTAATCTTGTGCATATAAAATGATACGCATGTTTCAGAGTTGTAAATGTTTTAGTTTTAAGGGGTGGGCTAGAACTACCAGATCTGCTAATATGCTCACTGCATACAGTATTTTTACATTCAAAGAAAACAGACCAACACCTCTTAAAATAATTATGTATTATACCTATCATTAGAGCATTTTATTCTCCTCCCTTCTGATACTATTCATACTGTAATAAATTAACAAGACTAATTCAGTTTAATAACATTAAGTGGTTCCTGTTTATTTCCATGCCTGTCTCTGGGACGCTTCAATAAGGTACAGACCACAAAACGGAAGAATAGACTCAAAATCCTGGTTGAAAATACTGTGCCACATGTCTTGATCTTGCAAAGAATAAACTAATGAAGACAGGTCCGATAGTATAAGCCGATATTGCTCTGTCAAGTAAAACACCCATTCCCTCTGTATCTGGAGACTGAATCATGACTTCCCATGTTGAATTTTAGATCTGGATCAAATAACTTTGTGAATGCAAACTGATAACCCAATACATAGCAAGATACTATAACGGACTGAAGGTGCGCACATAAGTATTTTTGAAATCTTGATGGTGTTGTTTTAATGTTCTACTTTCTAGTGAACATGCAAACAAGACTTCCTTTTCTTTCTTACTTTTCTTTTTTCATTCTTTTGGTTTCTTGACACAGGATCTTGCTATATAGTTCAATCTGGCCTTGATTATTATGCAGTTCAGGCAGGCCTCAGATTTGTGGTGATCCTCCTGCCTCAGGTGAACAAGACTTTAAAAAGAAATCTTTCTCTAAGTCCTATGTTATGGTCACAGAAAATATCCTTTGTATTAGCACCTTATCTCACTGAGCCTTAGGGATTCAGAAACATACACTGCTACGGCTTCTCTGCTTTTCATGGCAGTGTAGTTATCTCCACAGATTTCATAGAAATCTGTTGCTCTTTTCAGTAAGCTGTAACTCGTCAAATTGTGCCATCAAGGCCATATCTGGAGGATCATGTTTGATAATATATTCCACTTACTCAAGTATGACAAACCCCTTGTCCTCATTAAAGACACAAATAAACTACTATCTGGGAAAATGCTGACAAGTTTTCCTAAGCAAACTGTCTTACATCTGTTGTACATTGTTCTAGCATTACAGGTAATAAGGAAGGTCACATGCCGTCATGAAAAAGAGAGAGAATTTGCCTACATTTACAGTATTTGGATGAGATTCAGTGAAAATGAGTTTTTATAATTTTGTAAAGATATAAAAAAGATCTCTGAAATAGTACTACTTACAAATAAGTCTAGATTCGCTATAATGTCTAGAACATAATTTAATGGCCTCAGCAATTGTTTAACACAATCTGATCTCTAAATTTGCTGATTATACAAGAACCATGTGTGTCAGCTGACACTTCTTTTTGCACCTGCATAAATTAAAGCCAAATAACACAATCAATTAGACCAGCTTCTCCAAGTAATAAAGGTTATGACCACAAGGTGGGACTGTTATTCAAAGCTATCTATGGCACATCTCACTCTCAGGGAAACATACCTTTGTCTGAATCATCCTTTGCTTCTGATCAGAACCTGTTATGGTTTGTGTCCAGATGTCCTCCCAAAGCCTCATGTGGTCTGAGGGCTTTTTCAGAGGCTGCATCTAGAGTGTGTTATTGGTTCATAGTGCAATGCTGGGGTGAAGAGTGGGTGACTGCAGGATCAGTCCACAGAGGATTGGCACTGCCCTAATCCTGGTAGATTGGATACAATATGAGGGACTTCTAGAGAGGCTTGTCTCCTCTCCCTTGGTGCTTTTGCTGTCTTCTGCCACCATGAACTGCTGCTCTCTGCCATGTGCCACTTTGCCTTGGAGCCAGCTGATTATGGAGCTAAGTATCCCTTTATCCCTTTAACTATGGGTGTCAGGTATTTTATCTCAGCAACAAGAAAAGTAACTAAAACAGTACCTTCGTGTGAATTACTTTGTACTTCTGATTAGGGCTCAGACCATGTAAGGTTACATGTTAACCTTTAGAAAACTGATAAAACCAAATTATTTTTGTCCAATAAAGATGCTTTTATGTGGAAGAAAAGATAATTCCAAAGGTTATGGTTTTACTGTCACTGAGTTGGTATCTAATTTGGTAATCTGATTTCAGTTGGTTCCTCACTCCTCTTTTGAGTTTTGTCATCTTGCTTCCTTCTCTTTTCCTTCTCTCTCCTACCATCTCCTTTACACACACACACACACACACACACACACACACACACACACACTCACCTAATTTAGTATAACATATCTGTGAAACATAACCACCATTGCCCATGGTTCCCCTGAAGAATGATCTCTACTTAGCACAAATAGTTATTCCTATGAAGTTCCTATTATCTGAATTTCTCAAGGGGAACAATTCACTCTTGCCTCAGAATTATACTGTACAGAGTACATGATCTATATTTTATTAGTTTACCTTGTTCCAGAATTTCTCATCTTCACATCTCAGATTGAGTTAGACTATGTTTTTCTGTGCTCCTGAAGCAACCTGAGATTAACTCTAGTGTGTCACTTACCACAATGCACTGTAATTGTTGCTTATGTTAATCTGAATTCTATTAGGGATGGAGGTGTGCCCATTCACCATTATATTCCATGTGCCTAGGACTCAGTAGCTGCATGACAATAAGGAAACATGAATGGCACATTTCCTAGTCTGCCTCAGCTATAAAAGTGTGAGCTCAAAATGCCCAGGAAAATGGTACCTACATGGCAGACATATGTCAAAGGTTATCAAATGCTTGGGTAAAAAATAACTATATGACAAGAATAAGTTTACAAGTTTATATTCACTTTCTAGTGAATATAGAAAACAATAGTCACTGATTGAATTGCCAGAAAAGTCCCACTGCCAATGTTATGGTGCTGTTATAAAATTAGGAAGAAATGGAGTAAACACTTGTATATCTTCATCTGTGTTTTTCATCTCAAGTCACATACATGAACCCATGCAGAACAGGTATTCAGACAAGCTTGTGAAACCAGGGAATGTGTCTTACCTCTGGACGTAAGAACCATTTGCCAGCATTCAGCTTTGACAAGTTACTCCAAGGGAAGGAGGAAGGGTGATGATAGGCAGCCTTTGGCATGACCTCTCTGATATTGGTTGTTCTCCTCAAATCATAGTCGTGCATGAGAAAAGGCACTTGATCTATACTGCAGGCAGAGGAGGGAGAGAGGTGAAGGGGTGGGTAAGCCGAACCTTGGCAGGCAGAATCCCCAGAGAACCCTTCAAAGTCACAGGTCTTGCTAGTGCTCTTTCCTCCTTCTCATATGTCACCAGAGAACTTTGATATGGTGATTTTTCTGTCCCAGGGGCCAATCTTTAATGTAAGAATTATATTACTGATGGTAAAAAAGTAACCGCTATTCAGAGCTCTGTGGCATGAGGAGAGCAGCAGGTAAAATAGTGCCTAATAATAAGGCAAAGGGACAAAGCAGGGCCTGATGTCCAGAGGACTGTGCGAAGCGAGCTTCCATACAGTCTTTCCCGGGTTTCTCTGACCCCTTTCCCAGGGAGGTATTTTCACGGAGTATTTCTAATCCTAGACCTGCCACATCAGATAGTATCACTAGACAAGTTCCTCGTTCCGCCATCTACATTTTGCTTTGGATAGTCTATGATTTTATAAAGTTCTCTTGTCTTTGCTCATTAAAATATTCATGAAGAAAAGATCTAAAATGACCACAAGGAAGTAAGGGTAGAAATTTATCCCCTTACCACAAACACCTAAAAAAATACCAAAATAAAGGAAATCAGGAATCAAAGGATTCCAAGATGGATAAATGCAGGAGACCAAACTTTATTAAGGATTATTATAACCAAACTAGTGAAAAATATATGATTAAAACAAATTTCAAAAGTAGCTGGGGTGGAGAATAGTCATATATAGAAAGGAAGACAGAGAAACATATAACAGGTTTCTCATAAAAAAATTAAACAAGGCAAAACTACAGAACATTTTATATATCTACATATATATTAATAAAAGGATTCACATACATGTACATATATATACACACACATATAAATACACGCACACATTTTGGAAGGTTCAGGCATGTATGTCACATACTTTGACCTTTTCCATTCCCCATCACCCATTGTGTTCCACGCTTCCCTCAGTTTCACATGGGGAAGGATTCAAGGTGTATAATATATTTTTATTACATCCACCTCCCTTACTGCCAGCCCTTTCTCTCCCCCTTATTCCCTCCTTTTTACTTTCTTGTCAGTTTTTATAGTCCATTTATTAGAGAGGACATGTGCTATTTGTCTTTCCAAATCTGGCTTATTGCATTCAGCATGATGACCTCTCGATCCATCCATTTTCATGAAAATGATACAGTTTCATTCTTCTGGCTAAATAATACTCCATTGTGTGTATACACCACATTTTCTTCATCCATTCATCTTCTGAAGAGCATTAGACTGGTTCCATACCTTGGCTATTGTGCTGCAAATGGATATGCAGATGACTTTTTGCTTCAGAGTAGTACTGGTGGATCAAATGGGAGTTCTATTTTTAGTTTGTAAGGAATCTCTATCCTAACTTCCACATTGACTGTACTAAGTAACATTCCTACCAGCAGTACAAAAAGGACCCTTTATTCCTGCATCCTCATTAGCCTTCAGTGTCTTTTGATTCTTACCACTCTGAATGGGGTAAGATGAAATCTCAGTGTAGTTTTGATTTGCATTTCCCTAATGGCTAAAGGTATTAAACACTATATATATACATATATATATGTGTGTGTATATATATAGATAGAGAGAGAGTATATGTATTTGTACTTCTTTTGAAGTGTGTCTGTTCAATTCAATTTGCTCATTTATTGACTGGACTATTTGAGCTTTTGGTGGTTTTTTACTTTATTCTAAGTATTAAATCTCTGTCAGATGAGTAGCTGGTAAGATTTTCTCCTATGTGTAACTGTCTCTTCTCTAAGTTGTTTCTCTTCTTGTGCAGAAACTTTTAAATTTGACATAGTCCATTTTTTGATTCTTGCTATTATTTTCTGTGCTGAGTTTTATTTAAGAAATATTGCCAATGCTTATGGCTTCAATTGTTTCCTTTATGTTTTCTTTTAGCAGTTTCAGTGTGTTAGGTTGTATACATAGATCTTGGGTCCATTTTGAAATGATTTTTGTACAGGTTGAGACAGAGGGATCTAGTTTCAATGTTCTATAAATGGATATTCCATTTTATCAGCATCGTTTATTAAAGAGGCTGTCTGTTTCGCTGATGTATATGTTTGGTTCTTTTGTCCAGAATTAAATTGTTATAGTTGTGGGTTTGTTTCTATGTCCTCTATTCTGTTTCATTGGCCTATGTGTCTATTTTTGCACCCTTACTATACTTTTTTTGTTACTATGATTTTGTAGCATAATTTGAAATTGGGTATTGCTATTAGGGTACCTCCAGATTTGCTCTTTTTGCTTAGGATTTCTGTGACTATTCTGTGTGTTTTGTGTTTCCATGTGAATTCAGGAATTCATTTCTAGTGGAACATATTTTACATGTTGAAAGAAAAGAACAACTTATACACTTAGCAAAAATATTCTCTAGACATGAAGGGAAGTCAAAACAATTTCATACAGAGGCAAGATAATTCATTTCGGGGCTGTGGTTTAGCTCAGCGGCATAATTGCCTGCTTGGCAAATGTAAGGTCATGATTTCAATTCCTGGTACCAAAAAAAAAAAAAGATAACTCATTTCTAGCAATCCCTCACTGTAAGAAAAATTAAAAGAAATTATTAGGCAAAAAGAGAAATGACATCAAGTGGAAACTTGGATCTATACATAAAAATTAAGAATGTCAATACTGAAAATTTATGAGTAAATGTTAAAAAGTTTTGAAATATTTTTAGTCTTTTAAAAATAAAATTGCTTACTTAAAGCAAAAATAAGTAACAATGTATGGTGAGCTTCATGACTACACTGGGTTAAACAATGGGAAAGATAAAATGATAAGATACTGCTAAGCAACTTACATTTTGTTTAATGTATAGTCTTAAAGGAAGAAATTAAAGATGGTATTATAAATTCTAGCACAATCACTACAAAAAGAAAAGTATAGCTAATAAACCAATACTATGATCAAAGTCCTAAAAATGGCTCCAAAGGAAAAGAGAAAAAAAATAATAAAATTGTACCCCATTCACATGAGGTATAATTGAGGGGCGCTATAAAAAGCCAACAATCATGATAAATGTTCTTTCAACATAATATTTTAAAATAAAAATCAATATAAAGGCTTCCAGTAAAGATAGCAGATAGATAAGAGCAAATTACAGAGGCTCCCTGAGGCAGACAACTCAGATGCCAAAATAACACAGTGTGGGGAGTCCCAGACAGAGGGAGATGGATCCTCTCACCCAGGAAGAAACTAAAGCAAAAAGAACCAGTCAAACATGCAGTCCCGGGGCTACTATTGAGGCAGGTAAGAGTCTGTGCTCTCATGTGTGCGAATTCCCGCTGCTTCAACTCACTGGAACCGCAGTCACACTGAAGTGCAGTCACACTGAAGCTGGAGGCTGGAGAGCCCAGCAGAGAACAGATTTGGCAAGGGAGCTGCATCAACTTGTGGTGAGTGTGGGAATAAAACCTTTCCATTGGAAAAGGGCACCAACGGGTTGACATTTTGGAATCAGGCAGGACTGGCAAGAACAAGGAACAGCAGTGATTTCAGTCAGTTGTTCCCTTCCCAGACGAGATTGGTGGGGTATGCTTGGACTGGGTCACGCCCCTGCCTGAGACCAAGTAAGTTGTCCCAAACTAATTCCCTATGCACAGCACACACTAACACAGTGAAGTCCTCAGGAGGTTGACTGATCTGGAGGGCAGGAGCCAGCATATGCCACCCCTGTTTACACTTCAATAACACCCGGGAGTGGGCAGGATCACCTAGCCTGCATGCTTCAGAAGAACCAAAACCAACAAGGAAAGGGACTGGGACCTCCTCTACATGCCTGTATGGAAGAAACAAAGTATATGAGAAGAGGAATCAACAAGAAAAAGTCCTCAGCCTCCAACTCTGAGAACACTGATCCAGGAGAGGTAAATATAAAAGAGATTGAGGACAGCAAACATGCAATATCAGACACGGCATCAGTGGACATAAAGAGATATATTCAGGACCTCTTAGATGAGTTCAAAAGTGAAATATTTAACCAACTAAAGCAAGATATAAGTAAATTAATAAAAGAAATGCTAAGCATCTCTCAAGAAGACACAGGTGGAAGGTTGGAGGAACAGAACCAAGGAGAGAAACATTTGACGAAGAATATAAAGAAAATCTAGAATACATGAAGCAGGTTCAAAGAGATTACCAGGAAATAAAAAACTCCATTGAAAGCTGGCAAAACTGCTTGAAAGAAACTAAGGATAGATTGTCCAAACTGGAAGACAGGTTTGTAATATAGGATCAATGAAAGGAAAAATTTCTTAAACATAACAAGGAAACAGCAAGAATACAAAGGCTAGAAGATGACAAGAGGATCTATAACTTAAGAATAAAGAATGTGAATGAAGAAGCAGGGATACAAACAAAGGAACTACAAAGGCTATTCACAGAAATAATTAGGGAAACTTCCCAAGCATAGGAAAAGGAAATGATATTCAGATGTATGAGGCATACAGAACTCCAACCACCTACAACCAAAACAGAGTTACACTCAGGCATATAATAATCAAGATCCCAGAAACTCATGGCAGACTTCTCAACACAGACCATCAAATCAAGATGAGCTTGGAGCAAAGCACTCCAAGCCCTGAAAGAAAATAACCTCCAGCCCATATTGATGTACCCTGAAAAACTGTCTCTAGAAATTAATGGAGAAACAAGATGCTTCCAAGACAAAGAGGAACTGGGGGAATTCACGACCACCAATCCAACTCTACAAAGAATACTTCAGGCTATTCTAGAGAGAGAGAAAAGTATCAGGATTCCAAGAACAGTGACACAGAGGCCTCAATGAATGGAGCAGAAGTGGAATGAAGGAGAAAAGCAGACAACTAATGGCAGAAAACGATTACAACAAAAATGAGACAAAGAAGGTTGGCTATAATTTAATATAGATGGCCTTGATACACTAAAAAGAGAGATAGAAACACAGGCAGAGTAGATCAGGATATAGGGTCCACTGAGATGT